GCGACTGAACAACAACAACAAAGAGACAGGGTGTGTTCAGATGGGCAGCTAGTCCTGCCATTATCCCGGCTCTAATTTGATCCTGATTTTTTAAATCCATCATTGCACGACCAGACAGCCCCTTGTGAATTGTCTTACTGTGCGCTGCCTCCACTGTGAATTGTCCAGACAGCATCCACTGAAGGAGGCATGCACAGTGAGGTTTTTTTAAGGAAGTTTGTGCAAGCACAATTGCGTCCTTGTTTCTCCGCGCATGCGCTTAATAGAGTTTTTTTTAAGATGGCGACCGTTCAGGATGGTCTGACGTCAGACCATCCTGAACGGGCGCCATTTTTTAATTGCGCGCTGTAACAATCAGACGGGGGAAAGTCTGTGAATGGCCCGTCAGGAACTGAAAACTCCAGTTTACTTTTTTTAATACGGCTCCAAAGCGTGGCAAAACAGGATGCTCACGGATGAGGTACGTTTCCCAGATGTTGCTGTCTGGAAATTACATTTAAATCCACCAGGCACTCGTGCATGGTGCAGATCTAAAGAGCCGTCTGAATGCACCCACAGTAAACCAAAGCATATGATAGAATCGTGAAATCGGGAGTAGTCAAAATCATGCTGAAATCATGATTTATCATTACCACCTTCTGATCTAGTGGATCATTAAGAGGAAGGAATTCTAAATCTCTGGCAATTCTGACATAATTTACTGTTTGAAAAGTTCGCTGTTTGCTGGCCACTAATAAATCAACCTGATTTTGTTTAAATGCTGGTAGGAAAATATTTTAGTAATTGGTCAAGCATCTTACTATGCATTGAAATAAGTCAGTGGTAGGGTTCTTTGATTATGAATATTAATTTGGGTATTCTTGAACAACTGAATTTTGTGGTGTTGTGGTAGTGGGTCCCTATTGGGGAGAAAGGTGTGGTAGAAATGAAGTAAATAAATAAGTATAATGCCAAGCCTACTAGGGATAAAGTTTAATTTTTCAGTATGGCATATTGAGTTATTGTTTTCTTTTCCTATGCTTTTTTTTCCTTTGCTTGTTTTGTACATTTCTCATCCATTCATCCCTGTGGCTACATAAGCATCCTCTCCGCATACTGCTAGACATTTGGTTTTCTGCTTTGTTCACTGACTCATTTCTAATTCTTTATTAAAATTTGAAATGAAATAATTTTGGGTTTCTTCAGAACTACCTGATTTGTGTGTTTCTTGGAAGGTATAAAGAAGGACATGGTTCTTTATGTGCCCAAGAGTGTGTGATTTGATTTTAGCCTGCCAGGTGGTGAAAAAGTGAGAGGTATACTTTACTTTCTTGCTATATTTAATTTAGCATGTATGTTTTTGTTTTGTTTTCTCTGTGTAAGTTTTGTTACTTAACATTATGCATTTTGCCCTGATTTGTTCAAAACTTATGTACTACTAGTAAGTCCCTCCTGGGTACTACACTACATAACCTTGCCTGATTCACATGACAGCCTGTTTTCTGTGAGCAGATCCAGACAGGTGGGATAACATTTAAATGATGTAAGCATTTGCACCATATTCCATCTGTTTACAGGATCAGTGAAAAACGGTGCCTCTTCATTACACAGTTATTTTAGTACAACAATAATCAGAAATACTTATGACATAATTTTGACATGAATCAAGTGTTCATCCCAAAAAGACACAAGTATTTTATAATGGGAGGTATGAAACCAGAAAAATGTCTACTTCTGCTTCATTGACTATGCTAAAGCCTTTGACTGTGTGGATCACAACAAACTATGGCAGGTCCTTAAAGAGATGGGAGTACCAGACCACCTCACATGTCTCTTGAGAAACCTGTATAAGGGCCAAGAAGCGACAGTTAGAACCGGATATGGAACAACTGATTGGTTCAGCATAGGAAAAGGAGTACGACAAGGATGTATATTGTCACCTTGCTTATTTAATATATATGCAGAGTACATCATGCGAAATGCTGGCCTGGATGAATCACAGGCGGGAATTAAGATTGCTGTGGAAAAGATCAACAACCTCAGATATGCAGATGATACCACTCTAATGGCTGAAAGTGAAGAGGACCTAAAGAGCCTCTTGCTCAGAGTAAAAGAGGAGAGCGCAAAAGTGGGCTTGAAGCTCAACATCAAAAAAACTAAGATCATGGCATCCGGCCCCATCACTCCTTGGCAAATAGAAGGGGAAGTCGTGGAAGTAGTGACAGACTTCACGTTCCTGGGATCCCAGATCACCGCAGACTGTGACTGCAGCCATGAAATTAAAAGACGCCTGCTCCTTGGGAGGAAAGCGATGGCGAACCTAAACAGCATGATAAAAAGTAGAGATCACCCTGCCAACAAAAGTCCGCATGGTCAAAGCAATGGTATTCCCAGTAGTCATGTATGGCTGCGAGAGTTGGACTATAAGGAAGGCCGAGCGCCGAAGAATAGATTCTTTTGAACTATGGTGCTGGAGAAGACTCTTGAGAGTCCCTTGGACTGCAAAAAGATCAAATCAGTCAATCCTAAAAGAAATCAACCCTGACTGTTCCCTGGAAGGCCAGATAATGAAACTGAAGCTCAAATACTTTGGCCACCAAATGAGAAGGGAGCACTCCCTGGAGAAGACCCTGATGCTGGGAAAGATTGAAGGTCAAAGAAGATGGGGACGGCAAAGGATGAGATGGTTAGACAGTGTCATCGATGCAACGAATATAAAATTGAGCCAACTTCAGAGGACGGCGGAAGACAGGAGGGCCTGGCGGGAGATGATCCATGGGGTCGCGAAGAGTTGGACTCGACTGTGCGACTGAACAACAACAACAACAAATGAAACTAGAATTTTGATTAAAAGTGTCTGCAGTACTTGGTTTATCCTCTGGGTGCCGCTGTTCACCCATGTTCAGAGATGCATCCAGTCTTGCCTTGCTGTTCAAATACAAAAACAGACAGATCAGATTTTCACTGACTGATCCGGCATGAAACCAAAGAGAGACAATCTGCAGCAGAATATTTGCAGGCATTCTTGGTAACGTACGGCTGAAGATAAAATCCAAATGCCTTTGTGAAATGGGGAAGATGAGCACGGGAAAAAGATCCCAGCATTCAGCCAGAAGAGGCTTGATTTTCTTCATGATGATTACAATATTGGAGGTTTCTGGACAGATTCAGTACTCAATTCCTGAAGAAATGCAGAAAGAATCATTGGTGGGGGATATTGCAGTAGACCTGGGAATGGACATGAAGGAAACAGGCAACAAAGTCCGCATTGGTTGTGGAGGTAGGATCCAATATTTTGCTTGGAATTATGAAACTGGCCGTTTATACACTGCAGAAAGAATAGACAGAGAGGAGATCTGTGGCAGAACACAGAAGTGTCTGTTGAAGTGTGATGTGATTGTTGAAAATAAAATGAAAGTGTATGCAGTCGAAGTGGAAATTACAGATATAAATGATAATGCTCCCCACTTCCCACCCGGAGAACAAGAACTGACTATCAGTGAGACTTCTGCTCCAGGATCTCGATTCCCCCTGCCTGAAGCTCAAGATCCAGACCTAGGCATAAATTCTATACAGAACTACCAGCTCATTGGCAGTAGCCATTTTGCTTTGGCTGTTCAAATGGGAGAAAATGGTGCCAGACATGCAGAGCTGGTTTTGGAAAGCTCTCTGGACAGGGAGGAGCAGTCAGAGTATGAGCTAATCCTTATAGCATCTGATGGGGGCGATCCAATCCGATCTGGAACCGCTCAAATTCAAGTCAGTGTTCTAGATGCAAACGACAATGCTCCAATTTTCAGTCAATCTGTCTATCAAGTGAGTGTCAAAGAGAATTTCCAGACAGGATCCACAGTCTGCACAGTAACCGCCACTGATAAGGATGAAGAATTAACAAAGAGTTAAATTATTCCTTCAAAAAAATTGGAGAGACTGCTTCACAAATGTTCGTCCTAAATTCCACTACAGGTGAAATAACATTAGCAGGGATCCTTGACTATGAGGAATTGCCTCTTTATGAATTTGAGGTACAAGCAAAGGATGGAGGAGGGTTGTTTGACAGAGCCAAAGTACTGATAACAGTTACTGATGTGAATGACAACATACCCCAGATAGAAGTAACTTCACAAGTCAACTCAGTGTCTGAGGATTCACCAGCAGGGACAGTCATCGCCCTTTTAAAGATACACGATCAAGATTCTGGAACCAATGGGAAAGTCTCTTGTTCCATTGACACCAACCTGCCTTTTCAGCTGGAGAAAACTTACAATAATTACTACAGTCTGGTGACAGAGAGCGCTCTGGACAGGGAGCATATGCCGTTTTACAATATCATCATTGGCGTCACTGATCATGGGATGCCTCCACTTTCAACCAGCTGCACACTCTTACTCCAGATTTTAGACACAAATGACAATCCTCCCCTCTTTACAGAAACAACCTATGCCTGCTACCTGATGGAGAACAACCCAAGAGGATCGTCTGTTTTCTCACTCAAGGCAGATGATCCAGATTGGGAGGAGAACTCCAGAATAACTTATTCCATCATAGAAAGTCAGATGGATGACTCCTTCTCCTCCTCCTATCTCTCCATTAATTCTGAGACTGGGGTAGTCTATGCCCTGCATTCCTTCGATTATGAAGACTTGGTGGAGATACATTTCCAGGTCAAGGCTCGGGATGGAGGCTCCCCACCACTCAGCTCCAATATCTCAGTGACTCTCTTTATTTTAGATCAGAATGACAATGCCCCCCAGATCTTGTACCCTTCTGTCCCCATCGATGGCTCCACTGGAGTAGAGTTGGCCCCCCACTCTTCTGAGCCTGGCTACCTGGTCACTAAGGTGGTGGCAGTGGATGCAGACTCTGGCCAGAATGGATGGCTCTCCTATCAGCTACTCAAGGCCACAGAGCCAGGGCTCTTCTCCATAGGACTCCACACTGGGGAGATCAGGACGGCCCGTTTCCTTCTGGACAAGGATGCTCTCAAGCAAAGCCTGGTGGTTTTAGTGAAGGACAATGGGCAGCCCCCTCTGTCTGCCTCAGTCACAGTCACTGTGGTGCTGGCCGACAGCATCCCTGAAAGCCTCTCTGATATTAGCAGCATCCCAGCTCCTGCAGACCCCCAGTCGGACCTCACCTTCTACCTGGTGGTTGCTGTGGCTTTTGTCTCCTGCTTGTTTTTCACCTTCCTCCTTGTTTTACTGGCACTCAGACTTCACAAATGGAGGAATTCTCAGTTATGTGATTCTGCAAGCATGAATTTCAGTGGCGTCCCAGTTTCACAGTTTGTGGGTATTGATGGAGTCCGAGCATTTCTTCACTCTTATTGCCAAGAAATTTCACTCACCGCAGACTCTAGGAAAACCAAATGCACATTTCCCAATGCAGATAATTCCAATGCACTAACTGATCAACAGATAGAGGATCCCATCCTCATTGTGGAAGACATTGGTACTGGGAATCAGGCCTTTGTCCAGGTAAGCGAAGAATATGTGATTTATGTGTTGCATTAAGCTCTTAATTTCTTCATGTCCAGGCTGGTTTTTTTTTAATTTCTAGTATGTTTATCAGCAGATGTGCCAAAATATTTTTAAATAGATTCAGTTAACATACATTCAATGTTCTTTAATACTATATGGAAATAGCATCATTGTTATTGTAGAAAGTGCAACATCTAAGCGATCAGTGGTGAGGAAGCATAATGCAGGACCCCGAAGGTAGTTGGTACTGCGTTATGGCAGCTTCCCCAAGATGGGACTCCTTTCAGAGGCTGTGTTCAAACATATTGCCACTCCATCCCACCTTTCACTGAGTTGGGGGAAGGGGCAGGTTTTGGAGGTGTCCCCATGCATGGGGAGGTGTTTATCTGTTCCAATGCTGGGCATGTAGGAGTGTCACTACTGGGGGGCAGGGAGGGAGGGCTTAAATGGTCCACCAGGGCCACCCTCGATCTTTCATCATGCAGCAAAAGGTTATGTCAAGCATACTTGGCCCTTGGGCAGGGATTTAGAAGAAATATTCATTTGCTCATTTTTTTCTAGCTATTAGTTTTTTTTATTTATCATTTTTTGAAATTTTACAAATTATAATGCAAGTCAATATAGATGTTATGCAATAATTATTACACAGCAAAACTATTAAATAGATATAATAAAAATTGCAGAATAATATAAAACTACTTAAAACTATACTACACAAACTAACATAATCAACAATACCTAAACAATTGAAACTTTCCATTGTCAGTCACTACAATATACCACCCAATACACCAGCCATGAACTATACAGATCACCCACTGGGGAAACACAAAACAGAAATTAAGGATTTCAGCAAAGTCAGAGCCAGACAACATGCGATTCATATTTAGTCACCTCATTAGTGATTTTTTTCCATCAGGTATATATTGCATAACTTACGGTGCCACAAGCCCATCGTAGGCACCTCCACTCTTTTCCAAACTGTAGCTGTAGCTGTTTTTGCTGCTATTAAAAGCAAGGCAATCAGTTTTTACCAGACCTTTGGAATTGATTCTTCTGGCCACAAGTTTATAAACAATGTTTCCAGCGCCATAGGTACAGTTACTCCATTAATTATATACTCCTTTTTTGCCCATTTTTTAAACTGAAAACATAACCAATTAATATTGTATTTCTGTTTACTGTCTTTAACTTAAACAATTCTCCTTTACTCCATTTTATTGAAACAATAACACTGTCAGGTACTTTAGCCTGAGAAATTATGAGGACTAAAGTTACCTTGTGAACCATGATTTTGTGTGGATTTTAAACTGAATGTTGACCCAGACATAGCAAAGTCTATCGGATATCAGATAGAAGAACAGAATAAATGATAAATTAGAGTGATGACCAATAAGAACCACAGCCATCAGCCATAGGATCTGGGCACACACTGTGCTGAATAATAACCACTTCACTCCATTCTCCTTTCAAAGACTATGTCTAAGCGCATATCTCCAGATTACAAAAAAAAAAAAAGCCGCGCCTTACACCCGTGCATCCGGGCCAACGGTGTGAATGCTCCCTTGCGCCTCCTCCTGGTATGCTCCCGCATCAGTCGCTGCAGTGTGAACGGGAAAAACCGGAACAGTTTGTTCAGGCTCTTTTTTTGCCACTACTCCCTCCTGCTTCACACTGCCAGTCTGAACTCGGCCACAGTTACCCTTTACAATTATTTATTGTATTCAGATAAATGTTTTGTTCTAATGGTGGTTCATCTGATTAGCTTCTGTAAATTTTATCTGAACCCCCTCATGCACATAAGGTTGCAAAACTATTATGCTAAAAAAAACTTTAGGGTCCCCCCCCCCCCGCATTGTCATTGGATTGTGCTATTGCAGGCAAACCCAGGCCAAGCTTCCATTGTTCCTGGCTAAATGTTTCTCTTTCTCCCTCTCATGATAAGGTGGACAAGAGCTATGTCTTGGGGGTTGGACTAGATGATCCCAGAGGTCCTTTCCAACTCTATGATTCTAGGCCTTCTTCCTTCCCCAAAACTGAAACCGACTAGAAGTACATTTCATTTCCACTAGAATCCAGTCCAGTCCAAGCACCAGGTCATTGCTGGGAGTGGGAGGGATGGTGTAGGTAGGTATTATAGTCAGTTCAGGCAGAGAGGTGGAGGAAGAGGCCAGAGGACCGGGGATTTCAGCACACTGGGAATGAGACTGAAATAAGTAATAGCGATAATTTATTTTATTTTTTTATTTAAAGTTTTTCTTTTTATTTTGTCATAACATAAGTTACATAAGAATCATGTACAATAACAGTAACATCGATCCATTAATAAAGTGTGTAACATCAAAAGTCTGAAAAATTACAGTAATTTGTATCACAGTTAAAAAATATACATTCCACTCTGATCTCATAAGTACTACTCTTATTTCGCTATCCTTTTTTCCTATAGATATTTGCCTAGTGTTTTTATCACTAATTTGTACAAGATGTATAAAACAGAAAGTACAGTATAAGTTCGTTTTCAGTATCACAAAAACATTTACATCCATCTCTGAAAATGCTGCCAGGAAGAGGGCAAGAAATCTTCTGAGGCTAAGAATTCTAAACTAGGGTTCCATTTTTCCATTATAGGTTTGTCTACTGGTTTATGTGCTGTCTTATTTAATTTGTTAGTCATAGAGTCCATGAGGAATTGAGCCCACATCTTTTGATACCATAACCTTATTGTGGGGGGATTTGGATCTTTCCAACAAGTAGGAATCGCTGTGCGAGCTGCATAAATCATGGCATCCAAGGTCTGCTTGTGAATATGTTTTTCGATGTACAATGGCCAATGTTTAAGAAAGAGATTTTCAGGATTCAATGGAATTTCAATCCCTATGGTTTCACATACCAATTGTTGTATTTCATCCCAAAATTTTGCTATCTTTTCACATTCCCACCAACAGTGAGCAAATGTGCCTATCTTGTCAAAGTTTTTCCAGCATTTAAGAGAAATCGTTGGTTGTATGTGAGAGAGACGTTGAGGGGTCAGATACCATCTCGTTAAAATGTTAAAATCCTGTAATTCTAACGGAATAGAACATGGGTATGGATGTCTTGTCTCCCATACTTCCCTCCAAAAGTTCTGGTCTAGTTCATTCTTGCAGTCCTTTTGCCAAAGTTTTTGGTAGGGAAGTATTTTCGGAGCATTGGCAGTATTCAATAGATGGTATGTCGCAGATATCAGATAGCTATAATTTATGTAGAATTATTTCCTTCATTTTTTACATAAAATATTTTACAAAGCTATTTTTGTTTAGATTGTTTTAAATCTAATGAAGAGCCACTTCACTCAGTTTTCAAACTTCTGTTTTCAAGAACTACTCGACTTTTACTTATGGATTACGTAAGGACCAGCCTACCTGAGGGACCACCTTTCCCCGCATGTTCCCCAGAGAGCACTGCGATCAGGATCCCAAAACTGCCTGGACCTCCCTGGCCCAAAGGAAGTCAGGTTGATGGCAGCTAGGACCAGGGCTTTCTCGTTCGTAGCTCCGTCCTATTGGAACGAGCTTCCTGCCGAGATCGGGGTCCTGTGGGACCTTTCACAGTTCTGCAGGGCCGTGAAAACAGAGCTTTTTAGGCAGGCATTCCGTTAGGAGTGGCGTCTTACCAGCAGCGCCCTGAGTGAACTCAGACCCAGCATGACCTAGCGCGGTGGCACCGCTGAATGTGTCCTTAAACTGCACTTTATTTCTAGCGCCACCGAATTTATGTTTTAAATTGATTTGTCTGTGTTTTAAATGATTTACTGTATTTTATCATTTCTAAAATGTATATTGTTCATCAGTTTGTGGAAGCCGTCCTGAGCCGGCCTTGGCGGGGAGGGCGGGGTAAAGTTAAATTGATAAATAAATAAATACATCACCCAGTCTACATCTGATATTAGGATCTATGTCTCCTAGCAGGCCTATTTCCTAGTGTGATGTAAAGAACAGTTGCCTTTCTCCTGAGGGACTGAGGGAGAAAGGTGGTAGTGGGGGGAACATTGCAAGAAAACAGCTGCCAGGAATCATCATGTAGTTTGTAGAAGTTGAAGGAAAGAGATTGCCAGGAATGGTCTAGCAACCAGCAGGAGTCCTTGGGGTCAGAGACATATAGAATGGCAGATGGCATGACATGGCATTGCATCTGGCTAAAGAGAAAGCTCTGCGTAGTTGTGGTGCTTGTAGGGAGAATAAATATGAAGCCATCCTACCTACAGTGAGGGGTATCTCAAAGCTCAAAGGAGAGCAGGTTTTGTTGGCGAGACTATGTAACTCCTGACACTCAATATCCAACATCCTCTGTTTGATCAACTGGAATGTGCCTGCTAATGGGAGCATAGTCAGTGAATCCAAAAATATACCCATGGCCTTAATTTTTTTCTCGTGTTATCTGCAGTCACCTCTGGAAATAGAAGACAGATAATGAGGGAGCTGCGGTGGCTCAAGTGGTTAAGACGCTGAACTGCAGGCTGTGGAAGGTCAGTAGTTCAGCAGTTCGAGACCCAGGTTGCCGCATGACGGAGTGAGCTCCCGTCTCTAGTTCCAGCTCCTGCCAACCTAGCAGTTCAAAAGCAAGAAATTGCAAGTAGATAAATAGGTACCACTTCGGTGGGAAGGTAACAGCGTTCCGTGCGCCTTGGTGTTTAGCCATGCCGGCCACATGACCACGGAAACATCTTCGGACAGCGCTGGCTCTTCGGCTTTGAAACGGAGATGAGCACCGCAACCCTAGAGTCGGATTCGACTGGCTTTCGAGGAAGGGAACCTTTACCTTTAATGAGGTTCAAATACACGCTGAAGATATTTTTCATCCATCTTATCTGGTCATGGGTTGAATCCTGTCTTCATGCTAACAGTCTGGATTTCTATTGCACTTTTATTAAATTAATAAATTTATTAAACAATATATTTAATTTATTAAATAATATATTATTAATTATATAAATATAAATTATATAAATATAAAAATAAAGGTGATATTTATAGGTTTGCTCACAAATGTATAAT